CGTGTTCGGAATGGGGTTTGGGATTATGAGAGAGGCCATGGTCGGGGCCGGGATCGAGATAGTCGGGAGGTCAGACAGAAGGATTTCAAGGAAAGGGAGGTGATGAATGGTAGATATCACTCCATATCTAGCCGAAGTGATTCTGTAAGTAGTGGTAGTGGTGGTGCTAGGAGACACAGGCTTGCAGTGAGTGCCATGGATCGAGAGCCTGGGGAGCTTTCTAGTGACGGGTCTGATGTGGCTATTGATTCAGAAAGTCAAGTTAATAGATTGGCTGATATAGAAATGGTGGATAATGCTGATCAGTCTGCTTCAGTGCAGAACAAGAAGAGGAAGTTTTCGCCAATTGTTTTGGATGGAGACCATAAGGAGGTAAGCAGAACAGATAAAAGTAACAGCACTGTAGTTACTACTAATTTACCCCCATTACCTGCTTTGGTAAAATCATCTCAGCATTCACTAAACCCAGAAACTGGTGCGCCTGAGAATGCACGGTCTTCACCCGCATATGATAAGCAGGTTAGTTTAGAAGCATCTCTTTCAAAAAATTTGTCTGAATTCCCAGATGAAACATCTTCTATGCGAACTGAAGATCAGTGGGCCAAAAAGATGGAAACAGGGTCTCTGGAAGATGATGATTATGTTCCCACAAAAACCATTATTTCATCCCGGTGGGCTAATGATGCCGACTCCCCTGCCGATGAAGGTGAAATTTCGGATTATGAAGACATGCCTAAATTTAACAGGAATTATGGTGCAGAATCAACTGATCAGAAAAGATTCAGTAAATCAGTAAGTCCTGAAGTTTGGGAGGTCAAAAAAGAAGGCACTGGAGGGAGGTCTTCTAGGTCTGATGAACCTCTTAGGTCCTCCAGTAGAGATAGGTATCATGAAGAAGATGACAATAACGAATATATGGAGATAGACGAGGATCGTAATTATGATGGTGCTAGAGCTAGCCATTCTGATTCAGATTCTGATGATGATTGTGGTTCTCATGGTACCTCGGAGCCTTTGCGACTTCCACGAAGAAGTGTTAATATGCTTCAAGGTTGCAGAAGAGTCGATGAGTTTGAGAGACTCAACAAGATAGATGAAGGGACATATGGGGTTGTATTTAGGGCCAAGGATAAGAAGACTGGAGAAATTGTTGCTCTGAAGCAGGTTAAGATGGATAAGGAGAGAGAAGGGTTTCCTTTGACTTCACTGCGGGAGATAAACATCCTTTTATCTTTTGATCATCCCTCCATTGTGGATGTCAAAGAAGTAGTGGTGGGGAGCAATCAAGACCACATCTATATGGTTATGGAGTACATGGAACACGATCTTAAGGCGTTGATGGAGACCATGAAGCAGCCATTTAGTCAAAGTGAAGTTAAATGCCTCATGCTCCAACTTTTGAGCGGTGTCAACTACCTCCATGACAATTGGGTGCTTCACAGAGATTTGAAAACATCAAATTTGCTTTTGAATAACTGCGGTGAGTTGAAGATTTGTGACTTTGGTCTTGCTCGTCAATATGGAAGCCCACTAAAACCATATACGCAGCTGGTGGTTACTCTTTGGTACAGGTGAGGATCATCTGTAATCTGTATGCATTTCATACTCTATGTATCCGTTACATAGTGCAAATGGACTTCCATGTCTGATTAGAAGTTCAATTTGTTTTGGGTACAAATGGACTTCCATAGTCAAGCAATTTGTCGTGTTTTTAGTTCTCTATTTTATCAGTCTTATTATGGTAAACTAATCATAAGTTTTGTTGCAGAGCGCCTGAACTTCTTCTGGGAACAAAGCAATATTCTACCGCAATTGACATGTGGTCCTTGGGGTGCATTATGGCCGAGCTATTATCAAAAGAACCTCTTTTCAATGGGAAGACAGAGTTTGAACAGCTAGGCAAGGTACATTAAGGTTTCTCTTGTGTAGCTTGTTTATTCTGTGAATATATTCTGTATGGAGTAGTCACTCTTGTTACTTCATGTTGGATGAAATCACAGATTTTCAAGATCCTGGGAACCCCTAATGAGACCATTTGGCCTGGGTATTCTAAGCTCCCTGGTGTCAAGGTGAACTTCGTCAAGCATCAGTAAGTATCCCCATTCTTTATATTCAATCCTTTTTCAATTTGATACCAAATTGATGTTATCTTCTTTTGGCCACTGTTTCCCAGGCTTCCAGCTTTGGGTGATTCTGGTGTGGCTTTCTGGCCTCCGTTAATGATAGTTTGAGTTAATGTGTAAAAGCCCATAGCTTCTAACTAGCTTACATTTTTATCAGGTACAACCTATTACGTAGAAAGTTTCCACCTACTTCTTTTACTGGGTCACCCGTGCTTTCTGATGCTGGATTTGACCTCTTGAACAAGCTTCTAACTTATGACCCTGAAAAGGTATAAATTAAGTTTGTTTCATTATCTTTTTTTTTTTATATTTTTTGATAATTTATTAACCTTTTCGAGTCTCAAATGATGGATATGGTAACCATGCAGCGGATATCAGCTAAAGAGGCTCTCAACCATGAATGGTTCAGTGAAGTTCCACTTCCGAAATCAAAGGAGTTCATGCCTACTTTTCCAGCACATCATTCACGAGATAGGTATATTCCCGTCTTGATTTGATGTTTTATGAGCCAAATTATGATATTTCGCATTTTGAATGATCATTTTTCCAAATGTAATTTAAGGCGTACGAGAAGGGTAATGAAGAGTCCTGACCCGTTAGAAGAACTACAGAAGCTTCAGCAAGAAGGATACGGCACTGGTGTTTTTTCGGTCAATAAGATATGAATTGGCTTCTTGGGATTCTGCAGTATCGAATTCACATGGGAGAGGTGAGAGCTACGGACAGAAAGACGCAAATTGTTTGTGAGAAAATCTCAAATTATGCTGTTTTTAGCAGGCATTTTTGCTGAACTAGGTGCAAACATTTCCTGGCTCTATTCATGAATCAGACATCGTGCGTGTTGAAATTTCTAGTTGGACTTCAGTGATGTTAATAGCCTGTCTTTGACGTAACTTGCCTGGAAGGTGTGGCATAAGACACTTCAAGAATTTGTTTTTTCTTGATCTTGTGTATGTAACTATTTTAAACTGGCTTCTCTAAATGCCTTTTCAATTGATTTTGAAATATCATAATCCTAATGTTCTCTTTGCAAGAGGTGGTGTGTAAAGCGGTGGGGAGATTCTTTGCTTCTCATAGTCAAAGAATGTGGCGAAGTGTAGCATCAGGAGGTAAATATTAAATATGAATTCCAGGTGTGTAAACCAAGGACTAATGACTTGCCATTTTCTGCTAAATGTGGAATGGGTCTACTAATTTGGTTTATACCTTGGTTCATATAACATTAGCTTTCAGATCCCTGTAAAATGATTCTCTGAGTTCCATATGCAACATGGGTGTTCTCTAATAGATATCAATGTCATTGTTTACAAGGAAAGGTTTCCTTCTACAATTCCCTCTAATTTTCGTTAGTAAATCGTGCATTGAATGGCATATTAATCATTTTGGTAATTGAACTGATTCATAAGTACGAACGCTAATTTATATTTTAAGCGAACCGTATCGACCTGCCTCTTTACAAATCTAGCAATTGTACTTTTCTTCTTCTTCTTCTTCTTTTCCCTTTTAGGCGCTCTGTTTTGATTTGTTGCTACTTAAAATGATGACCGACATGCCATGAGAATTCTGTGTGATTTCATCTGCTCTTCAATGATATGAGGTTGCCCTTTGCTCTTTTGTTGTTGCAAAGATTCCATTTTCCAATTTCTGTCAGAATAAAGAATAACATAGTTTGATTTATTTTTTCGTGTTACATTAGCTTATCATTAACCAATCACCTGACGACTTCTTTCATGTAGCTCGCATGCCAACTTACTTTTGCTTCTTATGCTTTTCTCTTTGTGATAAACCAGTACCTTGCTTTACCTATACATGTACCTCCAGCTTAGAGTGCAGAATCTTCTTGTTGTTTCTTACCATTTTTAATACGTCTTATGGGTTTGAAGCTTCATGACATTCGTCTGAAATGTCACTGCAGTATTCAAGCAAGCAGGTTGAGGGCTATGACCTGGCAATGTTAGAAACTCCTAATCACTTTTCCATTGACAAATTTTCATATACGTGCTCTGAAGTTCAAGAAAGGTACACAGCATGCCTTGTTATTTGTCTCCCTGAACTTGTTCGTTCTAAATTCTTATTTCCATACTTCATAGGGTCTCTGTTTTATTTTTGGTTGTCTTTTTATTTTTTATTTTTATTTTTCCTGTCCAAGGAAGTGTATCATAGCAATGGAAATGCATATACTATGTTCCTCACAACTTTCCAATTAGTTAATATGTGTTTTTGTCGGAAGTGAAAATTTAACTCGGCATATGAAAACTATTTCTGGAAACTTTCCCAACTGTTCTGGAGATGAATATGTTGATCAATGGCTATGAGGAATTGTGCCTTTGCTCTCTTAGACTCTTACATTCACCTTCATGATCAAAAGTTTTTTCCGTGCTGATTATTCTGGCTGTTTCTTATCCAACACAAATAATTGTTGCCCGAGGGGACAATGATTGTTTGGAGAAGTGTCAGGTCATTAGCCTGTGGTGGAATTCTGTACAAAATTGATGAAATGTTCGGACGAAATGGCGCGTGTAAAGGATACAAAAGATAGCCAGTCATTTGGTACGCATGGGTACTATTATTCTTTGCCTATTTTCTTGGAACTCATGCCTTTTTTGTGGTTTGATGATGATATGTTCTAACAAAAGTGGCTGAGTTACTTCACAGTTTACAAGCTGTGACCAGAATCGATCAAATTTGCCACACCTCTAGTATTCTACATCCATTATGTAATGTTATGTGGTTGAATAAAACTTCAATTATGAAAATTTACTCGAACGATGTACTGCTTATTGGAGATGGGTGCTGTAATGTATACTAATGCCATTTTTGTTTCTTATTTTGGGGTGCTCAATTTTTTTTTGAAAGCATGCGTAGACTAGGAATTTACAAATACATACTAATAGTATCCAAGATGAACCTTGGACAATAAATAAATTTGGAAAAGTTAAATAACTTTCGGGTCGATGGTAAGTTTTAATATATGAATGTACCTAATATGTGTTATGTGTTTGTTTCTTATATATGGTGAGCTAAACTTTTGAGTGTTCGAACTCGACTCATTTGAATAATTAACGAGCTTGAGCTGACTACAAAGTTAAAAAAAGTATGGGACTTTATGAAGCTTAAACTTGTCTTGTATGTACGGTTAAACACTTGAACTTGACAAACTCTGGTGCGCTTGGACATGAGCTCGTTGAGCTAACAAGACTACTAGTAGTTTGAGATCATCTAATGTAATGTAGTACACAATCCTAATCCAATCTATGGACACGAGCTCGTTGAGCTAACAAGACTACTAGTAGTGTGAGATCATCTAATGTAATGTAGTACACAATCCTAATCCAATCTATGGACATGAGCTCGTTGAGCTAACAAGACAACTAGTAGTTTGAGATCATCTAATGTAATGTAGTACACAAAATCCAATCTATGGACACGAGCTCGTTGAGCTAACAAGACTACTAGTAGTGTGAGATCATCTAATGTAATGTAGTACACAATCCTAATCCAATCTATGGACACGAGCTCGTTGAGCTAACAAGACTACTAGTAGTGTGAGATCATCTAATGTAATGTAGTCCACAATCCTAATCCAATCTATGGACATGAGCTCGTTGAGCTAACAAGACTACTAGTAGTGTGAGATCATCTAATGTAATGTAGTACACAATCCTAATTCAATCTACGTTTACTTGAATCAATAATTGATCAACCTTTGAAGAGAAGTTACCAATCCACAACGAGCCTACAAAAGAAGTTTGTTCACGAGCACTCACTCATACATGTTTAATTTTTTTTGCACCCTTAAAATCACAAACCTACTAAAATCATATTGGGCTAATCAGAAAGTATTTAGAGATCAATATAAGGAAACACAACCCACCAAATTTAATTTTACACCGCCTATATCCAAAAGAAACCAGTGTTCGGCCCACTAGTCATGACTGGGCCAGCCCTCTTTGAAAATCTTGATGTATGCTCCACAATATCTCCACGCGACCACTTTGATCATCACAATTTAGAGTATCTTCAATGGTAAGTTGTCCATTTTGAGTTGCACAGCATGGAGAAAGAAGATTAAAAAATTGTGTTTCCAATAGATTATGTTTAAGATGGTTTATTATGACATGTGTAATTTATAATTGGTTGAAAAAAATTAAAAAATTGAATATATAATATAATATATAATATAAGTTGTCTAGAAGTACTTTTATATCGAAAAAGACTTTTAGAATTTTTTTAGACCACATAAGATTTTTTTGTGCCATGTGCCAACGAGATAGGACAATCCAAAGTCCATTGGAGATAATTGTATTCTTCGCCGTGGCGATCTATACAACTATAAAAAGGAGATCGCATCGTGACCGTTCATTTTTCTAGATTACATTCATTTACCGTGGGCTCGCCCGTATCAAGCAATAAATCAGCTCGCTTTCTAGTTTCTCCTCCGTTTGTAGTCTGCACTTTCCAATCTCGCTCATCATTTCTGGGTTGTCGATAATTACCAGCTGCGTCGCCGGTTAATCACAGCGCCTTGGCTTGTTCAACATTTGATGCCATCATGGTACGCTTTGTTTTGAATTTTTGTTCTCCCTTTTTCATGTGTGGATTTTTTTCTCCGTTGCATTCGTTTATGGAATTAGTTAAAAAATTGAAATCTTTTGGATTCTTGATCGGTTTTTTTGGGACCTGGAGCGGTGAATTCGATACCTTTTGTCCTTTATTTCTATTGTAGATGAGTGGTGGTTTTCTGGGGTTTTCAGTTTTTGTCGTGGGTGAAATCTGAAATTGGGGCAAAGGGTTTTGGTCCGTGATCTGATTGTTTGTGCGTTTATTTATTTGATTATTGCCATGTCTCTAAGTTGCAATTTGGATGTTTTAGTGATTAGCGCTTTGTTGACGTTTCGTGGAGATCAGCTGTTTGGATCTGTATGGGTTAGTGTGAGCTTTGTTGTGAAGGCTGCAATTTTCTGGCACAAGAAAGAAAATTTTGTAGAGATAGTTTCTGTTGTAAAGGGTTTAGTTTAATTGTAACATGGGAGTAATGGCTTTGATGCGAGGGTGAAAAACTTTGAGGATTCCTTTGGCCGAAATTGAGAAACGGGCTGAGTGATTCGTATGAAAGATGTAGTCTTGCCAACATGTTATGTCTTAAGGTGTTCAGATTACGAGTTTTTTTCCCAGTTTCAATTATGTCCTTACTATTTCGCTATGTCGTTTGTCAGCTTACTAACCTGATTTCGGGTCTCAGTTTCTTCTAGCATTATATTCTTCTATTTTCTGTATCCATTTGAGAAGAAACACAATGAACTTCGTTATACTATATCTCCAAGAACTGAAGTTACACTTTCTATAACCACATTTCATATTGTCCACACAGGCACCCATAAAGAGCATTCTTTCCCTGCGAAGAGCTTCTGTTATCCTCCGCTCGCAAGAGAAGTGTGGTTTAGCAACACGACCGCTCAGCACACAAGCATCAACCACTTCTCCCACCCCGCAAGCCCCTCCTCCTCCCCCGCCCCCAGAGAAGACCCACTTTGGCGGCCTCAAAGACGAAGACCGAATCTTCACAAACCTCTATGGCCTCCACGACCCTTTTCTCAAGGGCGCCATGAAAAGAGGCGACTGGTACCGGACGAAAGACCTTGTCCTCAAGGGAACTGACTGGATAGTCAACGAGATGAAGAAATCCGGCCTCCGAGGCCGTGGTGGTGCCGGTTTTCCGTCCGGTCTCAAGTGGTCCTTCATGCCCAAAACTTCCGATGGCCGTCCCTCGTACCTCGTCGTGAACGCCGACGAGAGCGAGCCTGGGACGTGCAAGGATCGTGAAATCATGCGACACGATCCGCACAAGCTGTTAGAAGGCTGCCTAATAGCTGGCGTGGGAATGCGTGCTCGGGCAGCTTACATCTACATCCGAGGTGAATACGTGAACGAGAGGATTAACCTTGTGAGGGCTCGGCAGGAGGCGTACGAGGCCGGACTGCTTGGAAAAAACGCTTGCGGCTCGGGCTACGATTTTGACGTGCACATCCACTTTGGTGCTGGGGCTTACATATGCGGAGAGGAGACTGCTCTCCTCGAGAGCCTCGAGGGAAAGCAGGGAAAGCCGAGGCTGAAGCCTCCTTTCCCGGCGAATGCCGGCCTTTACGGCTGCCCGACAACTGTCACGAATGTCGAGACGGTTGCAGTATCCCCTACGATCCTGAGGCGCGGGCCTGAGTGGTTCTCCAGCTTCGGAAGGAAAAACAATTCGGGGACTAAGCTGTTCTGCATCTCGGGGCACGTGAACAAGCCGTGCACGGTCGAGGAAGAGATGAGCATTCCGTTGAAGGAGCTTCTCGAGAGGCACTGCGGTGGGGTCCGCGGGGGTTGGGATAATCTGTTGGCGGTCATACCGGGAGGCTCGTCTGTCCCTTTGCTCCCGAAACATGTGTGCGAGGATGTGTTGATGGATTTCGATGCGCTCAAGGCCGTGCAGTCGGGTTTAGGGACTGCAGCTGTGATCGTGATGGACAAATCGACTGATGTTGTGGATGCTATTGCTCGGCTGTCGTATTTCTACAAGCACGAGAGCTGTGGGCAGTGCACGCCGTGCAGGGAGGGTACGGGATGGCTGTGGATGATTATGGAGAGGATGAAAGTTGGGAATGCAAAGCTGGAGGAGATTGATATGCTGCATGAGGTGACGAAGCAGATAGAGGGGCACACAATTTGTGCTTTGGGGGATGCAGCCGCCTGGCCGGTGCAGGGGCTTATTAGGCATTTCAGGCCAGAGCTCGAGAGGAGGATCAGAGAGCGGGCAGATAGGGAGCTGCAGCAGGTGGCTGCTGCTTGATCCGTCTGGTAAAAAAAGGTTTGGACTGTAGAGCAGCAAAGTGTTCTTGTATGTTGGATTTACTTTTATTTTATTTTATTATATTTTTTTTTTCCAGGTATGAACTCTGCCCGTAAGGTTTAGGTTTGATCACGAAAAGACTCCATTTTTTTACTATCTATTATTGATTCAGTCTGTTCTGGTGAAATTAAGAAAAATTATAGCTCAGACTTTAATATCTTCTCCATTGGAAAGACTTTAAATGCGTAATACTAAGACATTGCATATTGTTATGTTCAAGGTAACAAGTTATTTTGTAAGGGAAAAATATTCCTTGAATATCTTTAAGGTAAACATGAACCTCCACTTCGAAGAGGTGTTTGTTATTTGAATGGTGACCGAATAGTTTATACTAAAATAACAAATAAATTAGAAGGGCTATTGACATACTCCCTCTGTTTTAAAATGTTTGTCGTTACATAACAAAATGGATGAATAAAAAAAGTCAAAACGACAAACATTTTAAAACGGAGGGAGTAGTAGTTTTCGTATTTATCGAGCTACTTTTCATCAGGGACTTAATTTTTTTTGTGATTTCAAGGATTATCTTCATGAGATTCTTTTTTTGATGCGTTTTTTAGGCCCCGATTATTAAACCTAGTTAAGCTGGTGTTATATCTGGACAGTCTCATGTGCTTAGCTTACTACAATATTTTGGCAATCAGGCGTATCATTATTAATAGAAAACAACATCAGTTGAGCCTGTTTTGTATGATTTTTTTTTTCTTTCAATTAATTCTTCAGTTGGCGAAGTTATTAATAAGCTGACAAATTTTCTGTTTAATCCTTATAATTGGTACATCTTGCTAATTATATTTTGACACCTCTCACTTTGTAGGGAGCTGTATACACTGTTAGATTCCTTTGAATAAAGTGGACACACATTTCAGATCCATTTTCTCTGCTGCGAGTTCAGCTTTTGACGGTTGTACTGCCGTGTGGATGCACTAAGATTCTACTTCCGATATGTTCTATAGTTTGGCTGGTTTATGTAAAACGGTGTAAGACGGAAATTCACCTCATCAGGAATTTTTTTTGTCCCTTGAATGACTTTTTCAGTCTGTCTTTTTTGCTGTATTGTTGATGATAACCCTTATGAATCTGTTTTATGTTTAATAATTATGTGTACCATTACAGTTCTTCCTTTGTTGGCAATGACAAATGTTGACTGAATCTTTGATGTATTGCTGTGTTGGAGATATTTTATTTTATTTTAGTTTCAATTGTCTATATTGTTCAACTTCAAGAAAATGGGTCTTGCATCAATTGCTTTCCACAAGTTTTATGTGAGAAAACAGAGGAAAAGATTATAATGACTGTATAGTTGTGTGTTTTTTTTAGGAACTACAAACAATTATGTATAGGGTCGAGGAAAAGATTATAATCCCGTTAAGAATAGTTTCGTGAGAGATTTTAGCCTTTACATGTACATGTGAGTTAGTTAGTTATTTTAGATAATCAATGATTAAAATTACTCACGGAACTATTCCATGACACTATTCTATGACGGGATGATAGTCTTTTGAGCTTTGACCCAAAACGGACCCAACTCCAAGTTAACAACACGCAATCTAACAAAACTTGGATCGACCCGAGCACTGATTCGATCGAGTCAACCTAGTTTGACTCGATATATGTATGTTTTTATAACATTTACAGTCCCTTCGGGGACATCCGATAAAATTGGAACGATACAAAGAAGATTAGCATCGCCCATGCGCAAGGATGACACTCATAAATCGAGAAATAGTCCAAATTTTTTACCGCTCTGTACCAAAAAAAAATAAATAAATAAAATACATTTACGACGAAATACAACAATATTAAGATTTTGAACAATAAATTTTAAATATAATACTTTTTATTATTTTATATGTATATTTATATCATAAACTATGTATACTTCTAAAAATTTTAAATTAATTGTCTGGTTAAAACATTGACTTTGTGACCCGACAGCTGAATTGGTCTCTGGAGGCCAATTCGGGTCATTAATCGGCCGGGTTCAAAATATCGTTTTATCTATTACAAGTAAATACAACAAAACCGAGCCCGAAAAACTGAACCGAATTGCTGCATTCGGTGCGGTGATTTTCGGTTTTTGAAGAGTTCGATTTCGGCGTGGTTTGAATTTTTCAAAATCGCAAAAATTTCGGTGCAATTCGGTTTTTTGTTCAAAGAGTGCGGTTTTAACCAAACCGCACCGAATATCTTATAGTGTCCATTTATTTTTTTTAATCTTACATATGGTCACATCCTCACAAGTCACAGGTAACACATTACACGGCGACCACACTTTTCAATTTGAGTAATGCTATATGTACATAATAAATGTACATAGAGTTGTACATAACACTCACATGTAGTGAGACCCATTTTATTTTGAATAATGCTACATGTACATAATAAATGTACATAAAGATGTACATAACACTCACATGGAATGTATCCACTTGATTTTTTAATTTTAGTGGGTCACATTCAATGTGAGTGTTATGTACCTCTATGTACAACATTATGTACCTATAGCATTACTTTTTAATTTCTAATTTTGGGTGGGCCACACTCAACGTGAGTGTTATGTACAAATGTACATATAACATTATTCTTTCAAAATTTTCATTTGTATTCTTCAAGGAAATAAATAGCTCGCTAAAGTTGCTGCTATTTGAGAAATAGCTTTTTTTGACAGCGTGTCGCTATTTGTATCCATGTGCAATTTAACCGCTAAATCCTGCTAAATTTCCACTATAGCTCCGTTATAGCTACAGTGCCATAAACATTTTAGCCCACTATTTAAAACCTTTGTATTCTTATTAAATTACAATTACAATTAACAACATTATTTATATCAAAGCTTTTCTATTCAATTCCTTTTCACTATCTCTGTACTCTTTGTCTCCCTCACCCGTCACTGCGCAAGTCCGCCCGCCGCAACCATAGTTCAGTTTCACTCTCAAGCCTCAAGACTCTCAACCCGCAGCCGTTCAATTTCACTTCGATCTCGTGTCGTCGCGCGCACACCTTGTCCATCGCGCGCTCAGTCTCCGTCGCTCGTTCACTCTCACGGCCGCTGGCTGCTCACCGTCCGACGGTTGCTCGACGTTCCACCGGCTTCATCGGTCAGCTCTCACTCTCTCTCAGTCTTCTTTTTTTTTTTCCTCTTTTCGTCCTCTTTCTTCAATCTGACCCCAACCCTAATTTTGGATTTTCAATAAATTTTGGGGCATTTTGAGTTGTTGAGAGCCTGTTTTAAGTTGCTGAGGATCTGTTTTGAGTGCTGTTGTTTCACTGGCAGGACTTAGTCACTTAGGAGTTGCAGGGGTTTTTCTTATTATTGACTTATTGTTATGTTAATGGGTGTAATTGTTTGAGTAGTTTGATGTTGGTTTTGAGTACTATTGAACTTATGTTATGCTCCTATGGATGTTATGTTATATAATATTAAACTTATGTTTATTGTGAATTGTAGACCTGTGGTTGGTTTGTTTTGTAGTTGGATGTTTAAGTCTAGTAGATTGGTTCAATTTATATGGTTTTATCTTTAATTTGTGTTGATTCTTCTCTTAGATGCGGTTAACCAGAAAACCGCACCGCACTGAACCGAAAACTTCAGTTCGGTTTGGTTCGGTTTTTCATTCTCTTGCGGTGCTGTTCGGTTAAGAAATTCCAAAATTTCGGTTTTCGATACCGCACCGATGCTCACCCTTGAATTTTTAGCCCGTCAAAGGTATATATATCTTATTGGGCCAATTTCCCGTTTTATGTGGCTCATGAGGAGCCCATCTAATTTATATTCTTCTACTGAATTGTGTATTGCATTGCAAGAAAATGTCCCCCTCTTTCTTTCTTTTCGCACATTCAGAAAATTCCTCCGATTACATTTTCATCCTCTGCAATTCTTCTGCTTAAACTGTATAAATCAGGCGACAAGACAAACTCCTCAGTTGACTTCATGCATTGCTATGGTTTTATTCTAACGTATGCTGCGATTAGGGATTAAGCTCAACTGGTCTAGCATTGAAATCCACTCTGTAGTTTGAAATTAATCGACTTTGGTTGAACCAGAACTGTATTGTGATCGTTTTTCTTTCGTTTTTGCCAAAGTATAACGCTGTGAACTGTCGGAATCTTTTTTCCTTTTTTACAACACTTGGTGTACTTCGAAGCGATAATTTAGGGTGTATGTTTTTGTTCTTTTTCATCATTTTGAGCTAGAAACTGTGTAAAAGTTTGGTCTTGATGTATGTTCTTACATGTACTTGTAGTTATGGTGGGTCTTTCTCTTGGAGAGCAAAATTTTATAAAAGGTGGAATTGCGCAGGATTTGCGTACTGATGGTCGTAAGCGATTAACTTACCGGCCCATCTCTGTGGAGACTGGTGTCATTCCTCAGGTATAATGAACGACTCAGTTACTTTCTATCTGGTAGATTGTATGCTTATCAATGTATTCTTGTGATGAATCTGAAAAGGCAAGTGGCTCAGCAAGAGTGAAGCTTGGGGCAACAGACGTTATTGCAAGTGTGAAGGTATTATTGTCTTTCTCAGTCAAACAATAAATGTGCATCTCGCTTTGAGATTTGGCTAGGTTGCATTTGTTTTTCTTGGTAATCTTTGTCACATAACGTTCTTTGGATTTTTTGGAACTTGGACCAAATTTTATGTATTTCCCTTGCAGGCTGAGCTTGGAAAGCCAAGTGCATCCCATCCTGATAAGGGGAAGGTTTCTATATATGTAGATTGCAGCCCGACGGCTGAGCCAACTTTTGAGGTTGGATAAGCTTTGGTTTCATTGTGCAAATGAATGTGTGATTTTGTAGATAAATTTATTAGTTGAATTTACGTTAAATACTGGATTGGCTGAGCAGGATCAATCTATGAATTGTTGTCAGTTTTTTAGGTAATTTTATTCGAAAACTTTTCTTTAGTTGAGAGGCGTTGACAACTATGGAAGTCGTGATAGGTTATTAAAATAAAGAAAACCTTGAAGGAGATGGGTACTTCAAATGGTTTTGTCGCTGTGCTGAAGATCATGAACCACCTGATAGCTAGTTCTTAGTCATGTTCGCTTTACTATTTGTATCACCTTACTGCTTTACTTAGATATAAAGTATAAACCTCATACGCCAAAATGAACAATCTTTGTTGACTTACTTGAATCTTGAAGTATGTTTCATTTTCCCAACGAAGTGCTCTACCAAATATCTCCTAACCGTTTTCCATCGAATAAATGAACAATTATCAAAATTTTACCTTTGTTATCCATTCTTTTTTCTTTTGTCACAAGTTCCCTTGATCCTTCAATCACAGGGCAGAGGGGGTGAGGAATTAGCTACTGAGCTCTCATCCGCACTTCAACAGTGCCTTTTGGGAGGTAAAAGTGGGGCAGGTATGAGTGCAAAACAACTCGATGCTTAGTTAAGCTGCACGTTATGTCATTATATTCCATGATGCCAAATTTTTTTGCTGTATGTGATTTTTGCTTGCAGGAGCTGGGATTGATCTCTCGTCTCTATCCATTGTTGAGGGAAAGATCTGTTGGGATCTGTATATAGATGGTCTCGTTGTCAGCTCAGATGGTAATATACTCGATGCCCTCGGAGCAGCCATCAAGGTATTGTGTTTTACTTCTTAAGTTTGCGTTTACCGAATTCAAGAGATTATCAATACATACTGTATTCGATTAGGTCTCTTTTTTTTAATTAATATTTTTTATTGTTACTAGGCAGCCCTAAGCAATACAACTATTCCAAAAGTCCAAGTTGCTGCTAATGCCCCTTCTGATGAGCAACCGGAGGTTGATGTGAGTGACGAGGAATTTCTACAATTTGACACATCTGGGGTTCCTGTTATAATTACTTTAACCAAGGCAAGACATTGTTCCCCCAAATTATTTATTATTTATTATATATATATATATATATTTTCCTACATGTGAAATCGACTATTACATATTGTAGGTTGGGAGGCATTACATTGTAGATGCAACTACAGAGGAGGAATCCCAAATGAGTTCGGCTATCTCAGTTTCTATAAATAGGCAAGGGCGGATATGTGGGCTGACGAAAAGAGGAGGTGCGGGCCTCGACCCAAGTGTCATACTGGACATGATATCTGTTGCTAAACATGTGAGTGAGCAGTTGATGAACAAATTGGATTCGGAAATAGCTGCAGCCGAGGCCTGTGATGATGAGGATGATGACATGGAGTCTTAAAAGGGTGCAATAGATTGACCCTTTTAGTTTTTTTTTTTCGGTTATCTTTTTTAATGGGAAATGTGGTGTTACTGCATTCTTTCCGAATACTGGATATGGGTAGTTAAAACTTTTGTTCAAAATTTCTTATCTTGGAAATTTAAGGATGTGTTCATTGGGATTTTAGGTTCAATTTTCATGTAAACTATTTTAAGCCTGGTGCTGTGTTTACTGAATCTTTTGTGCTGAGCAAATGTTGACTGAATCTTTGTTGTATTGCTGTGTTGGAGATTTTTTTATTTTATTTAAGTTTCAATTGTCTATATTGTTCAACTTCAAGAAAATGGGCCTTGCATTGCATCTTGCTTTCCACAACTTTTATGTGAGAAAACAGAGAAACTATCAGATTGTGCCCAACACAAAATACATGTATGCATTGATAAATAAAAAAACTCAATCACTATACTAAAGGGAAATGTGTTTTTCAAGGACTACAAACATTTATGTATGTATGTTCACATATTCTGTTGATACTGGTGTCATATTTTTGTCTCATATTTAATCATAGTTTTAAAGTTCATGCCTTTTCTTAGTGGTGTCATGTATTCATCTTACATTTATGTGTATTTTTTTTTTTTTCGATAACATTTATGTCGACGTCTAACATTATTAAGATTTCGAGCGGTAAATTTTGCATGTAATAATTTTTGGTATTTTTATATATATTTATTTATGTTATAAACTTTACATACTTTTAAATTTCTTAAACTAAATGTCTTATTTAACAATTGGCCTGATGACCCAACGGCTGAAGGCCAGACAGGCCGGGTTCAAAAAATCGGTTTAAATTTTATAATTACATATAGGCCCCGTTTGGAAGATAGCGGATTGAGGATAAATTAGCGGATTGGACTTAATTGAGAGGTTTGACCCGTCAAATCCGCTATTAAACTTGTTTGGTAAATAGCTTATTTGATAAGTTTTTTAGGCCCAAAACTCTAATTTAAAAAAAACTCATTAGAGGAGTTTTTTGGGGATAGAGGATTCACAATCTACAATTTTAATTTAGAACTTTTTAATTTGTATTATTTATTTTACAATCTACATTGGTTTATGATGCTAACAAATAATAATATGTCATCCATATGATTAATTTATCTAGTAAAAATGTTAAATTCATAACTTCTTAATCAATTTTTAGTATTTTTTTTTTAAATATATATATTTATAAATTACCAACTAAAAAATATTAAATGTTTTAATATATTATTATTAAAAGAATACACCTTAAATAATAAAATGTCTTTATTGGTAATTTGCAATGTCAAACATCTATAAGCTTTCAGCTATTTACCAAACATTTATTTAAAAACCGCTAATGCAATCCGCTAGTCAAATTAGCTAATATTAATCCGCTATCCACTATCCGCTAATACAATCCGCTATCCGCTATCAGTTATCCGCTGATCGCCAAACAAGGCCATATACATGAATTTTTAGACCATCAAAGGTATATATCTCTTATTGGGCCAATTTTCTGTTTCATGTGGGCTCATGAAGAGCCCATCTAATTTATATTCTTCTCCTGAATTGTGTATTGTATTGCAAGAAAACGTCTCCCTCTATCTTTACTTTTTCGCACTTTCAGAAAAATTCGTCCGATTAAATTTTCATCCTCTGCAAATCTTTCTTCTGCTTAAACTGCATAAATCAGGTAACAAGACAAGCTCCTCAGTTGATTTTATGCATTGCTATGGTTTGATTCTAACGTATGCGACGATTAGGGTTTAAGCTCCACTGGGCTAGCATTGAAATCCACTCTGCAGTTTGAAATTAGATCTTCTTCTTCTTCTTTTTTTTTTTTTTTCTGGATCCAATGGGTGCTGCAAACTTTGATCGACTTTGATTGAACCACAACTGTATTGTGGTTGTTTTTCTTTCGTGTTTGCTTGTGAACTTTCGGAATCTTTTTTCTTTTTTTTACAACACTTGGTGTACTTCGAAGCGGTAATTTGCGGTGTATCTTTTTGTTTCTTTTTCATCATTTTGAGCTACAAACTGTGTAAAAGTTTTGGTCTTGGAAGTTGTTGATTGTTTCCTAATGTTGATTATGTGATAATATTCACAGGAGATAATGATGAAAATTGATTTTGGTGGGCTTGATCCCTCAGCGCCTATAAAGGGAAAAAGGGATGAGTTGTATGATGAGATTTCAGCTCCTTCATCTTTCAAGCTTCCTACTACTGTTGATGTGAGTGTGGCTATTTTCTTTTACACACACATATATATGTACAATTATTTGATTTTTCACTAGTATTATTCAGTGGGGTTTGCATCAGTTGAGTAAAAATTATTTTCCTTTCCTTTTAGTTTGATGGGTTCCAGAAAGCTGCTGTACAAATGGTGAAGCCTGCAAAGGGAACAACTACTCTGGCTTTTATATTTAAAGGGGGTGTCATGGTGGCTGCCGATTCACGTGCTAGCATGGGAGGATATATATGTGAGGCTTGTTGCACTCTTAACTCGATAATTTTATTTTATTTTTTTTATCAGACGCTGATGATATTGTAAGGATGTTAACTATAAAATTCTAGGCACTGAGATACTGACTCATTTTATTGCGATATAAGTTACTAAAAACACCAACTAAGATCTATGTAGTAAATTGTGTTAGAAGGTCAAATACTCTGGGGAGGAAAAACCTGTATATTTATAATCTGCAGTTTCTTACACCTGGATATAAGCTCTAATGGCTGCTAACTATATTCTTTTTTGTGCTCATATTAAGCTGCGATATTGTTCTTTGTATGGAGATGCTTGTTGTAATTATATCAATTGCCTTGATAAAGTTGCCATTACTGATTGACGTTCATGTTGACATACTTTTAAGATGTTGGTAAAAAGAGTGGAGTTTGTGTTTGAAGTTGATAATTAAGATTTTCAATTTAGATCACGGGTCTTGATGAATGAATCTCATGGATCAAACTTCTCGGGTGAAATGCCATGTTTTCAGTTTATTCTGTGTATTGTACTACGGAATGTGGTTTCATATTGAGGCAAACTAGCTTAATCTCAAGATTCTACTTGTTGCAGCATGACATATGACTGCATTGGAATTGATGATTTATTTTATTTCTGTGTTGGTGTAATTCAAGATGAGAAAAATATAGTTGAAGTCAAATTTAAGAAATGCCAACTGGTTATGCCTTTAATGCTGATTCATTATTTTCTTCTTTGTGTCTTGGATAGGGCAAATAACCAATTGTCCTTTCAATTGCTTTAAAGATAGATCAGTGTTGATGTTATGGTGTTTTGTTCTGAATACTGCATCTCATAGTTCATTTATTGTAAGTGGTTTCTTCTTATGATAGCATCACAATCCGTCAAGAAAATCATTGAAATAAACCCGTACATGCTTGGTACGATGGCTGGAGGAGCTGCTGACTGCCAGTTCTGGCACAGAAATCTTGGAATTAAGGTGAGGTTCCTGTATTCTTTCAGTGAAGTTATTGTTATATCCACATGTTTCGGGTTTGATATATGCTGCTTTAACACGTTCAATTTTGTTAATTTTCCACACAAGTACTAAATTAGATAGAGGCCTAAGTTATGATAAGATTTAATATTTGGTTATAGACTTATAGTTATGCTTAGCCTTTGAAAATCTTCTTCTTCGTCTTCTGTTTTTTTTTTTTAATCGCCTTTAACATAGATTACACTCACTCTGTTCTATTCTTTTCAGTTTCCTTATTAGGGTACTTCTCTTGTTTCAAGGCAGTATATGCTACTGGAACATGACGATTGAATGTTTTTCTTGCGTTATTTCAGTGCCGTTTACATGAATTGGCTAATAAAAGAAGAATTTCCATTGCTGGAGCTTCAAAGTTGTTGGCCAACATTCTGTATTCTTACCGAGGAATGGGTTTATCTGTCGGGACTATGATTGCTGGCTGGGATGAACAGGTATAGAATGAAATTACCAAACTAGCCTTTCCTTTCTCACTCCTCAACCTTTTTCTCATATATATATATATACCCCTTCAATTCGGTGTAGGGCCCTGGTCTTTATTATGTCGACAGTGAAGGTGGACGACTTAAAGGCACTCGATTCTCGGTTGGCTCGGGTTCGCCATATGCTTATGGTGTTTTGGACAATGGGTATGTTCCTTATAGTTTCATTTTGTTGCTATGCCTGAGATTTAGTGACTACCAAAGAAAGTAACTCCCGATGGTTTCAAATGAACAATTAACATATGAATTAAGGCCCTGATTGGTATAATGGAATGAAATATCGTAGGAATGAAATGAATTGAAGAATAGAATGATAATGGGAATGGAATGAAATAAGTTTTGTCATTAATGCGTTTGGTATGCAGAAGGAAAAAAACCTGAATGGAATGACATTATCATTTTTTATTATGAAAATAAATAAAAGCTTTTTAAAAAAATAATAATTTTTTAATAAATTATATATAATAAATGCTTTTTTTAATAATATATGAAAATAAAATAATACATTTTTAATAATACAAAAATTTAATAATTATATTTTTAATAATATAAAAATTAATATATTTTTAAAAATATATCAAAATAAAATAATATATTTTTAAATTATATATAATAAATAATATATTATTAAAAGTAATATATTTTTAATATATAAAAATAATACATTTTTAATAATATATAAAAATAAAAAGTAATATATTTTTAATAATAAATATTTTTATTTTTTAATTAAACAATAAATAAAAGTAAGTTTTCAATTTTTTTATTTGAATTTTATTTTTTAAAATAATATATATTTAATAATATATAAAAATAAAAGTAATATATTTCTAAAAATATATATTTTTAGTATTTTTTTAATAATATATTTTTCAAAGTAATATATTTTTAATATATAAAAAATAATATATTTTTAATTATATATAAAATAAAATAATATATTTTCAAATTATATATAAATGCTTTTTTTTTTAGTTTTATTTTTATATAAGTATTTATTATATCTAATTAACCAATAAATAAAAGTAAGTTTTCAATATTTTTATTTGAATTTTATTTTTTAAAATAATTTTATTTAATATAATTTAATCATTATTTATAATATATATTATATATTTATTTTGTATTATTATTTTTTATTTTTATTTTTTGAAAAATTGATTCCTACACACATGGGAATGTAAAAATCTTCCATGAACTATGGAATGACTAATCCCATGGAGAAGGGTTTTGTCATCATTCCTTTCCAAAAAATATACCCATGAGATAAGGAATGAGTAAATGAATGATCATTCCATTCCCCTGTCATTCCCACATACCAATCATGCCATAAGGGATTATCTGTCAATAGCTATATTCTCAATTATTATCTAACTAAACCCATTTATGATACTCATATGTTGTCTTTCGTAGATACCGCTTTGATATGTCGGTTGAGGAAGCTGCTGAGCTGGCAAGGCGATCAATCTATCACGCGACTTTCCGTGATGGTGCCAGTGGTGGTGTTGCCAGCGGTAATGTGTTCCTCCTTTCTCGTTCGTTGATTTTATTGTATTTTTCGTTTTCATAACATTTTTTTTTTTTTTTTGACAGTGTACCACGTTGGGCCAGACGGGTGGAAGAAGCTATCAGGGGATGATGTTGGGGAACTTCATTACCAATACTATCCTGTCGAGCCCACGTCCGTGGAACATGAAATGACTGAGGTTGCTATTGCGTGATTGTGCTCGAGTTTAAGGATGTTTGCTGCTATTTGCATTTTGCTTCGGATTGTATGTGAGACCTGTTTAATCTTGTCTTGATTCGGAATCGACTTGTAACATTTTTTAATTTCGATTTAAAACCGCTTGCTTTCATCATCTGCATGACGTAACTTTTCTTATTCCATGATCTTCATCTTCGGAGGGGCAGGAGCTCGGTTTTAACTCGTGTAATGAGGTATTTGAGTTCGGCTCGTTTAACAACTTGAGCTTGAAACTTGTAAAAAATAAAAATAAAATACAATAAAACGGGAAGGAGCTCGTTTGCTCAAGTACTCACACGTTCATAGGTTGAGCAGAATTGAGTTTGTTCCTCCTCCTCGTAGGTTGTTCACTAATCGAGCATTTGCGAACAGTAGTCGCAAAAGTTCATTCGTGACAAGAGCTCGTTCTTTGTTGATCGACTGAGTTAGAGTTTCAATAGAAAGTTAGTCGTATATGGTGATATGATGATTTAATGGTAAAAAAAATCGACTGGATAATAATAAAATGGAAACCACTCAACATTTATTAATTTCTCAACATTTATTAATTAAGCTACAACATTAAGTACAGACATCTTCTACTATTCTGAATTACTTACACAATAATAGCAATTCGCTACTCAATGACTTTTGTTAGCTTCTAAGCATGTTTTCATGATAAGGGCTCATAAGATCTAATGAT